GGTAAATTGTTGGTTGATTAGTTAGTTTATTAATTTGTATGTTGGGTCTAGTGAAATGCTTAATTCATTGTTTCCATGGTTAAAAAAATGTATTTTATATATTTTGATGCATTTACATTGAAATGATTCACTTAAGTCTGTTTTAACTTAAAGGGAAAAAGTTAATCTATTTTCATGCACCTGGTTAATGGTTAATGTGAAAGGGTTTTGATAATTGATGATTATTAATTGGTATATTAATTATAATTATGGGTTTGATAATTATTTGATTTGTTAGAACCTGGTTTTACAAAATGGTAATTATGTGGTGTTTTGTCTTTAAGGTTTTTCACCTGCTGAGGGAAAAGGGCTGTAGAAGGGGGAGAAGGGAGGAGGCTGTTTTCCTTCTTCTGCACTATTCTGGGCAAAAACCAAAGGAAAAATAAAAAGAGAAAAGAAGGAACAACGGCCTGGTCTTTGAGTGGATTCCAGCTTTTAATGTTCAGCGTTGGCACACCCCTTCAAGTGTGGGGTTAATACAGCAAGCAAGCAAAACACTTGACATGTACAGTATGCAGTTCATCCACATTAAAATAATTGTTGCTATCAAAAGGAAACTGAACTGTTTTCAAAGCTCACTGCCACTGTGGAATCATGCTATGTTTGGCTGTCTCATTATGAGATTATTTTTTTCCATTGGTTCTTCACAGACTGTGTGTGGGGAAAAAGGTAGTAATTCTCACTTTGATAAAGGGTCTTTGCATAAAAGGCACTAAAACGTTAAAGTCGGTAAATACATGTCATGTTCCTTGATTTATAAAATCTTCATTTGGCCTTTTGCATCAGGGGAACACTAAACTGCACTGGTGTGTCAGTAATTTCACCTTATCAGTAATAGTACAGAGCAAGCTGTGCCCTAATCGAGTACTTAGTAATGTATGACAATTATTAATTTATGTAATGCATTTAAATGTATTATGGTCAATAATTCATCATTTTAAACTAATATGTTTCTTGACTCTTTGTGAGGTACTGTATGAAAAAAGGTGTCTTTATCCTGGAGTCAGTGCTGAAGTGATGACTCTCAAAGTGTACACTGCACAGACGGGAAGTCTTGTTTGGAGTCCAGTTCTGTCTTCTTGTGTTGAGTGTCCACTGGTCCAGTCTGTCTGGGTCACCTAGAGGAAAACTTTACACAGACAAATAGATATTAAATGTAATATATGTGTTTGCTACCTACTTCACAGACACTTTTACATGCAAACAATACAACTTAAATTACTTCTTTGTTCAACAGATCATAATCAATTTATTTTAGCAAAACAAAAAGGTGGTGGCCATCACAGTCCCCATATTCTGTCTGTGCATTATCTATTGTTGTGTAACTACAGGCCTTTATCATACACTAATCTTCTTAATATTTTATATGTGACAGTCAAATGTCACATTAGTTTTTTTTTAATTACGTTACACGTCACACAGTTCGCCACTTTTTAATTTACATACACAAGTATAGCCTTAATGTTACGTTAACGTTACACTGCTCATATGACAATGTTAACATTGCATCACGTTAGCTAACTAATGTGGTGGACCTTTATTTTCAAACCTCACACAGCCTCAGCCATTTGTTCAAAATATTCTATCCCTAAATGCCTAAATCCTAACACTGCTCTGTCAGGCTCTGACTTCGATGCATCCCCGGACTGGCGTCTTGCTCGAAGGCTAACCGTTAGCTGGCTGGTTAGCTAGTTAACAAGCTAAGCTTATGTTGTATCGTATTGTCTGTGGCTCTGTAACTTGATGTGGATGTTGCTGCTGTGATACAGGTCGCAGTTGAAAATGAGACCTCCGATATCAACGTGATTTTACATGTCCTAAATAAAGGCTTAATAATATAATAATAAGCTGACAAGCTAGGTGGTGACTGCAGACACCGATACATGCTGCTGACAAGCTAGGTGGTGACCGTGGTGACCGCAGACACCGATACCCGCTAATTAGTGCTAACAAAACATATAAACATAAATAAAATAATACTAGAATTTCCGAACTTCACTTACTGAAAAACCTGGAGCACAGACTTTTTGGACGGTCTGTTGGTATAATTAATCGAACAGCAAGCCACATTACTCCAATATCTGCCTGAAAAAATATCCAAAAGGCACAAACACGGCTGGGAGGACAGGTTCAATGCCTTGAACATGGGCACGAATTGGCTGAGATGACGCCGAGCAGACGGCCGAGTCTGAGCTCAGCTCTGCACAGCGGAGCCAGCGGCTAGTTAGTAGGCTAGTTAGCCACCCATGATGGTGCCACCTGTCACTCAAAGTGACCACGCCCTTAATTATGCGCAGTTTCAAACCTTAATAACATTTAAACGGAAGAGTTTAAATGTTATTAAGCTGTCATGAAAGGGGAAATTAACTATAGAGACCAAAACTATTTTTTGTACCAGGCTGTAAACATGTTTGTTTCTGCTCTAAAGTTGGGCATTTTAACATGGGGGTCTGTGGGGATTGACTCACTTCTGGAGCCAGCCTCAAGTGGACAGTCAGTGAACTGCAGTTTTTGCACTTCCGCATTGGCCTCACTCGTCTCCCCCGGAGGTTGGGGCTTGGTATAAAGTCTTGAATAGTGTTAAAACACTTTCAGTGTTGAGCGATGAAGTCTAGCTTTAAGCAGTATGAGTGGTAATTGACTGAATCATGCTGTCCTAGGCTTACCGTGGCTGTTTGTGCTTGCTGCTGAGACCATTCAGTGCTACAAACCTGTATACTCAACTTGACTCAATCTGACTTGACTTGACTTGACTGCTGCTGATGCCAGCCCTCACACAGACTCATTGCCCTTGACCCTTCCCGTACATGTCAAACTGCAGTGTGCCGAAAAATACCAAAGAGACCGACTGGGGGCTTGCAGCTCACCAGATTTGTTCATGTGCCAGAGTCAGACTGAAGACTTAGTACTTGCTTTCCTGTTTGCCTGCTGCTGCCTGTAAAGTCTAGAGAGACTTACAGCAGCAGTTTGGTTGATAGTTGGACACGTTTTAGGGCCTGTTAGCATAATCATATTGTTTTGTATTTTGATTTAGATACTTGTATGGTCTCCTGCTCTGTTCTTACTTCTGCCACTGTCATGACACAACACACAGATTAGTTGAACCGTTTTTGTTTATTTATTGTAAAAATAATTCACAGCCTTGTTACAGCTTCATGCATTCAGTGGTGGTAGTAACATGTTACATTTACTGTGTTAAATGTACACACAGTGGAACTGATTAGATTTTGGTAGTCAAGGCTCAAAGGTCAAAGTCGCTGTGACCATAAGGGAATTTTTCAAATTTGGCACAAATGTTCACTTGGACTCAACAATTAACTGATTGGATTTGGTGGTCAAAGGTCAAGGTCAGTGTGACCTTGCTTCTGTCTTATTCACGTGAATATTGTTGAGATTTAGCGGACCACAGATGATTTGTCATTTGTGCAGAGCTAAACTGGACATGTAAAGGCTCTTTGTTCTTCAAACAAAGAGCAGCCATTCTCCACAGGATGCCTCACTGTCACCCCTAAGTGAGAGACCAGTTGTCAAACTTGATTGGACAAGACTTTCACAGTGACGTGACTCTGTTATGTCACCAAGCAAACTTTAGGAGAAACTCTGCTCTCTTCAGTCTCTCTGCCCTCTTTCTCCTGAGCTGCTGACTGGCTCAGATGCTCTTGCCCCTGAACCATTAAAGGGGGCACTTGCTCTACAGAGTCTTACTGCTTTTTCTCCTGAGCTGCTGACCGGCTCTTGTTCCGAAGACTCTCTTGCTCTCTTTCTCCTGGATCATGACCTGCATGCCCACAACAGAAACAGAACCTGGAGACCAGAGAAGTTATTGAGCCAAACACAAGGTTTGCCACTAACTTTCTGGCAACAAGGAGAACCAAGCTGAGTTGGCACCCCAAAGTCTAACTCTGCAAGGACCCCAGTTGACCGGCTTCCTTGGATCTGCACCTTCAGAACAAGGACACAGAGACTGCTCCTGGAACCACAGCTCCTTCCAGCTTTCCTCTGCCTAACAAAAGCAGTTTAGTTTTCAGTTTTTTATTTTAAAAAAAAAAAAAACAACCTAAAAAACTAAACTGCTTTACACCACAAAGCAACTCTTCCATCCATCCATTCAAGGATTGGTAATGTAACACTGGGCACAGCTTTATTGCAGTTGTGCAGGCTCGGCAAGACTGTTTAACATTGTCAACTATGACTTAATTCTATTTGCAGAGTTATTGTCGTGATTGTTTGCAGTTAGGTTATTGGTTAGTGGCTTTGCCAAAGCTAAGTGATGTTAGTTTGCCAATGCATTTCACAGACAGAGTCTTGCGTGCAACTAAACATCCTCTGTACTAACCCAGACCCTTTGCAACACATATCACATTCACATAGACTCCCTTACAAATTGGCTTTCAACAGAGCTACACCCAAAGAGGCAAGTCAAAGTTCCCGCTTCTTTTCGTCTTTCTTTGTCCTGACCACACAGTCCGGCAGACCTCCCCCGATCTGAAGCCAATCTTTAATTCAGCCATCTTGTAGATCTCTGTTGTCAGTCATTTTGTTTGGCCAAATGTCCACTTGGACTAAAGAATAAACTGATTAGAATTTTGTGGTTGAAGGTCAAAGATCAAGGTCAGTGTGGCCTCACAAAATATGTTTTTGGCCCTGTTTTTGTCATATCTAAGGAAGAAAAGGGAAAATATTTAGTCAGATACTTAATTGGTGACATGAATCTTGGGTGTCCACCTTGAAACTGTGCTGATTGTATAGATCTTCTGTGCTGCCGGGAGAACAATGGGTGTGAAGCAAAGACATTTTCACAGACATGGATGTAAACTGAAAGAGAAATTTGGCGGGCAGTAATTCTAGTTTTTTAATGAATTGTACTTTGAAAAGTTGTGGAGTGTAGAGACAGAGTTGGAGAGTTAACAACGGCTGCACACTGCTTACTGTGCATGAAACCTTTGGCAGTGAAAATCACAGTGTGACACCTGACATAAAACAAATGATTGGATCAGGCTTAATATAGCTCAGAATACTGATCCCTATCAGTTAAAAAATGCTTTGATCGGCTGTGAAACTGATCTTTGAGATCAGATCGGGACATCTATAATATTTAGCTGAGCTCACACACAAGACAGCAATTGCCAATATAATAGCGCTGCAGATGGAACAGAGGTGTGGCCCTACCCCCTCCAGGACCCCCCTTCAATTGACTACAGTCAAGATCATGGCATAGATGAAACAAGTTTAAGTATTTAGAGACTGGCAAATCAATTATCAAGTAAAAATCATTCTAAATTATGTTGGAATAGAACGAATGTATGAAAAAAATGTATGGGTGTGATAATTGATCATAAATTATGTTGGAAACCACACATAAACAATGTAAAAATAAAAATGTCTAAAACCATTGCGATATTATACAAATTAAAACATGTTAAACCAGAAGTCATGATATACTCTGTATTGTGCTCCCATAGTTCCATGCATTACCTACTGCGTGGACATGTGGGGATACACATACAAAACCAAGACTTATCCAAGAGAATTGTAATTAAATTGAAAATTCAGAAGAATTAATAATTAGGGACCTCGGCTGAAGGCCCTATTGTAATTGTGCTGTTTATTATTGTTATTAGGGCCCGAACACCTAGCGGTGCGAGGACCCTATTAAAATGCAAGGATTTTTTATTATTAGGGCCCAAGCACCTAGCGGTGCGAGGACCCTATTGAAATGCAAGGATTTTTTATTATGGCCCGAGCACCTAGCGGTGCGAGGACCCTTTTGAAATGCAAGAATTTTTTATTATTAGGGCCCGAGCACCTAGCGGTGCGAGGACCCTATTGAAATGCAAGGATTTTTAGGGCCCGAGCACCTAGCGGTGCGAGGACCCTATTGAAATGCAAGGATTTTTTATTATTATTAGGGCCCGAGCACCTAGTGGTGCGAGGACCCCTTTTATTATTCTTCTTCTTCTTCTTCCTCCAAATGAATTGCCTTTTTGGGAGGCTTAACATACCTGAAAACTCATGAAACTTTGCACACATCTCAGAACTGGTGAAAAATTTGATATTTTAAGGGTCTCGTGTGCAGATTCCAAAAAATGGCTCAGTAGTGCCCCCTACAAAAGTTTGAGGAAACAGCCC